CCGGGTCTCGCGAACGGTGCGGCCCCTCCCTCTGCGCGTGCGTCCTATGCTCACTTTTTGAACGTGCAGGGGCGCACGCTCTACGACGTCATTTTATACCGGTTAGCGCGGCCTTGGGGGGGCAGTTTGGGGAAGGGGCCCGAGGAGGGGTGGTGCTAGGGGAGGGGCCTCGTCAAGGGGCGGGACTCTAGGCGCTAGCGGGAACGGACAGGCCAACCCTCCGCACTCAGAGCGCTCCAGGGGAAGTCATCCAGGGACAGGCCAGAGACTTGCATCCGGAGAGGCTCCTCACCCGGCCTCACGGTGGGCAATTCCATGAGGAGCTCCCTCAGCCCTGCCTGTCATCCCTCCTCAGTGGGTGCCGCAAGGGGTCGTGTGTCCCGTCTCCCCGTGGGGCTGCGCCATTGTGAGCGTTTCTGACAGCGTCTGGTGTGTGCGTCCTGGGTTTTGATCGTCGCAGCAAAGGCTTTAATCTGCGGGCTTCTTTGGACCCCTCAGGGCATTGAGGCCTTGCAGGAGGAGCTAATGGAGGCAGAAGGTGTGTCCTGCTGTTTTGTCTTTGCCGGGGTGGACTTGGCCTGCCTCGGCTCCCTACCCCTCCAGAGGGTGAGCCTTGGTTCCCACCATGTATCTGGACTCAGTGTAGGTCTCTGGGATCTTTCGGGATCTGCCGGCACTGAGGATGGAACAACTATGGCCTCTGGAAGAAGTAGGGGTGGTGGACCAGTCCAGCCACTTTCCCAGGTACTGTTGTCCCAACTGAAGGATTGCAAATTGTTGTGCTGACGGGATCTTGGAATCCTCCTCTCTGCCTTTGGGTAGCCTCAGCACCTCCTGGTGTCCCCACCGTATCCATGGCAGTGTGTGTGGGCCCTGGGCCTGTCTGCCTGGTGTTCCTGCTCCTCCAGCCTCTTGAGCTCCCAGTCCTTGCCCCTGGTCAGGGTCCAGTGATGTGGGGTCTCCTCCTTGCCCAGGTAGGTTGAGGCCAGGCTCCCTTCAGCCTTTGTGGGGCAGTCAGCACCCTGGGCGTGGACTCTGTGGGGGCTCCTGCTCCAGCAGGAGTTGAGCTGTTGGCTTGCACACCTGGCTGCAGGGCCTTCCTTACCCCACAGATTGTCGGAGGGGGATGAACATGCCTGATGGGTGCAACAGTCACCCATTCTTGCCCAAGGCCACTGTTGGATTTCGCTGCAGGGCTCTGAAAAGAGTACAAGGTGACTCATTGGTGTGTGTCCACAGCATTGGGAGTATACTGCCTTCCACATCCCCATACTCAACCATCCTTGATTAGAAGTACTTGAAAAGGCAGTTGTACCTGTATTGAATGGGTACAAACTTCTTTTCCTATTATTCTTGAACAATACAGTTGAGCTATAGCTTACGTGGTGTTCCGTTGTATTAGGGATCATAAGTAACCTGGCCATGAGTTGAACCAGGCACAGGAGGATGTGTGTAAACCCTGGGCAGATGCTGTGTCATTTTGTGTGAAGGACTTGAGCAGTGTCCATTGTGTTAACTGGTGTTGGAACCCATCCCACAGATGCCAAAGAATGACTACAGTAAGGTATCACTTTGTGATTCAGAGTCTTGCTGTCCTGTCCCCTGGGACACTGGTCCTTGTGGCTGTGTGGGAGGTAGGGACACTCCTTGTCCCTAGGGGTGGGAGTCCAAGAGCCACCCACCAGGTGGAAGGACCCCATTCCAGGTTCGTGGCATGTGCTGAGACAGCTGCATGGACCTGGTTCACCTGGATTTTAGGACTGTTGCTGTGGCTGGCCCCAAGGCTGCAGAAGGCATCACCTGGGAACGTTCATGGGCACCCCAGGACCCAGCCCCTGTGAGAATGTGGTGCCCAGAGAGAGAGTGTATCACTTTGGGGCGTCTAAGCCCCTTTATCACCAGACTGACCCATGGAGGGTGCACAGGGCCCACCTGGGAACTTGCCCAGTTTCTCTGGGCACCCCATCCTCTGGCTTGTCCCTGGCCCTCCCCAGCTCCGTTCCCAGCCTGTCTTCTGCTCACCTGGATGCTCATACCCTGTGGGCATGATCAGTGGTCTCCCCACTCTGTTTACCTCCGTGCCAGGCCTCTCCTAGCCTTGCCAGCTGTCTGCACCTCCCCACTCTGACCTCTGCCTCCCCACACCCAACTGGCCCTCCCTCCTTCCCCCCTCCCTCCTCTGGCCCTTTTACAGTGCCTCTCTCTCTCTCTCTCTC